TTTCCAGAACAAAATGTAATGCAGTTTGCCAAACGTGAGTGGGAGTGTTTGTGATGGCCTCCTCTGAAGCTTCCCCCGGATGTTTCCCTGAATGCCAGCTTGGAGGAGGATGAGCCAGTCCCAGGCATTATCGGAGGGGAGGGGGAGGTGGCAGCATGCCTGGAGGTGGCTGATGTCCCCAAGCCAGGATCAGCAAGACCAAGCACATTGGACCAGTTGCAGGGGGAATGACCGGACAAGCAGCTGTCTGAGCATGGGATGATCAAGACATAGTTGAGACCTCAGGAGGAGAGAGCATGCAGCTGCAGCTAGCCAGCGCAGATGAGAAGGAACTGCTTCCTCCACTTGATCCAACCCAGACTGGAGAAGAGGCAGGAGCAATGGTGTTCAGCCCAGTTACTCATGAGGTGATAGCCTTGCCCCTCTTGCTGGATTGCACCAGGCAATGGCTATAACAACACATCCATTTTAATGCCTAGTGTTTGCCAGTTTCTTTGTTGATCTTCCTGACCCAGATGTTGGATTTAGATCCTGGATTTGTGCTGAGACTCTTGGACCTACTTTCAGATTTGCCTTGCCTTGAAATTTGAGGGTGGACTTTGGTGTGTGTGTGTGTGGGGGGGGGGGCTTGCTTGTCTCCTTGTAGTGTGAATCCAGCTTTGTGGATTCATGCGGGAGTCATTTCAGAACGGAGTTGGGACACGCATTGGGGGGGGGGGGTTGCCTTGTTGCTGGACTGGGATTCCCTGGGGAAGACCTTTGGAGGGCTTGAAAGCCTCAATAAACCCCTTGAATTTTCCGTGGTATGTGTGTGTGAATGGGAGCAGGATAGTGTGCTCCTATAACATTTTTGGCTTCGGTCTGCAAAACCTAATTAGGGTTATGCAGTTCTTACACCAAGTGGCTAATGTCACTGTGCTGTATTCAGGGACCCCAACCTTTTGGGGCTAGTAAGCACATCTGGAATGTTAAGAATATATAGTAAGTACTGTCGCAAAGTCATTGCTATGGAGGGCACGGCTGATCATAAAGCAACTATTTTAAAGCAATTGCTCTCTTTCACACTTTCTATTTCCCAAGAGCTCTTTTCTTTTTTCTGGGAAAGTGGACACAGTTCCAGACAAATAACTCTGGGCTCACATCATCTGATTGATATAGGACACATGTGAATCCCACTATAGTTGGAAAAAAATACGATGCTGGAAGCTGTGTCACATTTGAGACCATAAATAGCAAATATCATTTTGGAAGTGTCTGTTGTAATACATAGAAATACAAATATGTTGCATTTCTGTAGCATGGCCTATATCTTTGTTACAGCTAGCTGCTAGTGCTTCTCTGCATGACCAGGTATATTTTACTTCCTTACAATTTGCTGAGCGTGCTTTTATTTTGGTATCACCTGCATGCCAAGGATAAATCATCAAGGGATATGAATAGTTTGTGATAGCTCTTGAATTATGGAAGTTATTTTGCCTGATTAAATTTGGAGTATATTTTTTGGCTATTATTTAGTAACTCATGCAAGGACAGGCAGACTAATCTTTTTGGCTTCCAATTCCCATAAACCCTAGCAATCTTGGTGAATGAAAAAAGACTATGAAAATTGTAGTTCAGAAAACTGGGCATAAGTGTCTTGAGTATTTCTAGTACTGAAAGACAGTATTCAATATAATGTTTTCATTTTCTCTTGTGTCCTGATTTAACTGCTGTGGCATTTTGACATTTGGTTTTATATTTCTTCCTTTTATTTTCTGTGTGCTTTAAACCATTGCTGTAAAAATTAAACAACATATATTCATCATACATTTTTAAGTTTCTTTAAAATAGTCTTTGGCTAAAATTACAAATAAGAGAAAAATAAATTATTCAAATGAATATTTTATATGTCCTCATTTAAATGGGCTAAACTGCGTACCATATAATAGTTAGGCAGCTATTTCAATCGTAAACAATCATAAACAGTTTAATTGCTACTGGAATGTAATTTACCTCTTGCTGGTATAAAATTTGGTTATAGCTAATGCATAATATTGTTGCCTTTGGGCAAAAGAAGTCACTGAATTAACCTGAGCTGTTAATTTCCTAGAAGCCTGAAATGCTGTGCCCAAATATTTAAAATATTTAACTTTTTCTAGTTCGTGGGAATTTATGCACTTGTACCTACCTTTGTCTTTCATTGGAAAAAACTAAAAGTTTGGATTTATTGTAATTAATGACCAGTTGTTCCTCTTTACAATAGAATGCCTTCTCTCTCTCTCTCTCTCTCTCTCTCTCTCTCTCTCTCTCTCTCTCTCTCTCTCTCTCTCTCTCTCTCTCTCTCTCTCTCTCTCTCTCTCTCTCTCTCTCTGTATAAAACTAAGAACTGAAGATCTCAAGAGGAATAGTGTCTATTTTTTTGTTACACCTTTTTCCATCTCTTATCCTTCCTCTGATGGTGCTCTTCTTTGAGATTAGCTGAAGTTTTGAACAATAGTACACTTAAGTGGTGGAGATGCATTTTTCTGTAAGTTCAGCTCCCAGTGGTTATCTGTCATCTAATAATATTCTTAATCTATCTTTTTTTTCTTTTACTGTCAGGTAAATCCTTATTACTTATTTAGTAACAGGAAAAATTGTCAGGTACTTTTTCCAATACAGTGAAATGTTTCTGAGCTGCTATTATTATTATTATTATTATTATTATTATTATTATTATTATTATTATTATTATTATGATTATGATTATGATTATGATTATGATTATGATTATGATTATGATTATCATCATCATCATCATCATCATCATCATCATTATTATTATTATTATTATTATTATTATTATATGTTAGAATCATTTGTTTTGTTCCTCTGATTTATGGAAGCCCCATGAATTCTGGCTCAAAGGCTCTTGCATTATGATTAGTCTGGGAAACAAACAAATATATGTCAAGGATGAATGGATTTTAATACTGGAACAATATACTGAAAGGCAACTTTTTGGATATATCAAAAGACAGAAATGCAAGTTGTAACAGTGCTGTGTTAGAGCCTAAAATAGTCAGCTATCTAGTCTAATTGTGTACATGTTGCTGATGCTGAAGGAAATCAGATTATGTTGAGGCAATATACAAGTCTCTGATGAGACCATGGACCTTCTTATGATTAAGTCTTAGATTTTAAAGAGCCATTCTTGCTTATCACATCTATGGTTTCTTCAAGAAATTCAAAAAGATAGTCCCTGTTGTAAAGATCTAGTATAGGCATGTCAAACAGCTGGCCCACGGGCCGGATGCGTCACACCGAAACTGCGCCCACCCCATTGCCGGCAATGGGGAAAAACTTGTGATATGTCATGCAACGTCACGAGTTTCACATGCCTGATCTAGTAGCTTCTGTTAAAAAGTTTAAGAGCCTTGCTGTCCTCTAAACTTCCTAAGATTTGCTCCCAGCTCTGAAGCCCAGTTTATGTATTAGATTGATATCCCTGCTTTCATTCAGGAGCTCAAGGCAATATACTGCATGTAATGATCCTTCTTCCAGTTTTTCCACAAAGCCCCCTAGGAGGTAGGGTGGATTGAGAAAAGACTTGTTTATCTCCTCTGTTAGGAATCTCATAATAATAAAAATTTTCTACTGTGCAGTATTGATGATCTGTGTCAGAAAAAAAAGTTGGACAGAAAAATGAGGATATTTGAGTCTATTGCTTAAGTAAAACCTTGCCATTGTTGGAAAAACAAGGTCTGGAGTAGCATGTTGCATTAAATCCCAGTGCAGTGTGAGCTTGTTGGCCTATTGATGCAGCTTTTGAGTAGTCTATTATTATCTCACTAGCAAGATCGGGATGTGCCTTTTAAAATGAGAAGCTGAGGGAGAAAACACAGAGAATCAAGGAAGATTTGCTGATGTGCCAAATCTTTAAAAGCCAGAGGCTAAAAGCTCTCCATTTTTAAATCAGAGTTAGATAAATTCATTGCTGACACTTAGATATACTTACAAGATTCTTAAATCTCTGCTACAACATTTAAAATGATAAATGTTTAAATGATGGTCATTTTAAAATTGTAAATTATTAAAAGACAAGAGCAGTGGGCAGATAAAATTAATTTCTAAGATTATTCTGAGACAAATGTTGCAAGATATATGAAACACAGATCCAGGACAACTCAAGTAACAATAAGCAAAAAAAATCTTTTCATCTGAAATTGTTCAGTTTTATACTTTCTGGATTCCAGTGTACATAACACATGCTTATGCACTTTTTTTCTCTTTTGTTTGGAAAAAAATCACAGTAATAAATAATCAGATAAACAAGAATATTTTCATAAATCCTATTTTACTTAAATAAAAATTTACTATTACTAAGTTACTATGTTTTGTGCTATATTTTATCTGTAGATTAGTTCAGTTGATTTCTATCAGATAAACAATTGAGATCCATAAAATACTTCCAATTGTCATTTTCAATGAGGCTGCAGTCTGATACGGATTATATTTTGTACATTTTCTAATACCCAACATGGAAATGACAAATGAGTTTACATTCCTATACATCTTATGAGTATTAGTTGCAATTTTAATTATAGTTGTATGCTAAAATAGACTGTATAGCAACAGTCTAACAGGTTTTTTTTTTAAATTAAGGACACCAAGTGCTGCACACTAGATATTACAATGAACACCTGGGGTACCAGTGGGATTCAGTGGATCTACTTGAGAATCGTCTGTGGTCTATCCATATTGACAGATGGGGTAGCTTTTACTTCATGTCTTTGAGACTGCTTTTTCTCCTCTTTCTCTTCCCCATTACTTTATTTCCTGAATGGGATTGTTGTTTGATAAGTTGACCATCTAAAAAAAAAGTTGCAGTCATTCTTATGCAATCTAGGAATTAAAATCCCTTTCAGTCCTTTGATTTCTATTATATCTCCCCCTGTTATAAGGATGGAGCTTTTGAAAAGCTAAACCGAAAGCTAGACATTTCTAATGAATGACTAATCTTTTTTTATTATTTTGTTTAGTCTGGACAGTTCAATGAAGATATGATCCCAACAGTGGGCTTCAACATGAGGAAAATCACCAAGGGAAATGTAACTATAAAGGTAAGATACAAAATACCCTGACTAGATTTCAAACATAGTGTTTGGGGTACTCTAGATTGTGGCCATCCAGGCAGATCAACAAATTAAATTTAATTAACAGAAATTAAAAATTATCTGCTTCTTTCACATATGAAGTCATACTGGCTGTTAGATGCTGAAATAAGCTGACTCTCCTGTCTTTGGATGCCTTGATAGATGTTGTGAAAATTGATTCAGGAAGTTGGGAGGCATGCTGTGAAAGGCTCACTTTTTAGATGATTATGCAACAGGAACCTTTCTGTAGATGAAGGCACTGTGACTTCTTAAAGCAGGACAGGAGCATAGAAAGGGAATATTATTGAAATATTGGGCTACTTTCAGTTGGGTTCAGATGGAGGAAGTGGGTTTTCAGAGCACAGTGGTTTTAGTATTTGTTACAGATTATTTATGGTATGTATTATTCTCAGAGATTGCAACATGAGTGCTGTATGCTGTTTGTGAGCCAAGGGTTCGCAACTCTGGAGGCATAACTCAGCTAAAATAAGGACAGATTGATTGACATCTGTTTATTAAGGCGTTTTTTTCCTGTAGATTATGTAGATGATTTATTATTCAGCTTTTTAGGAAAAGATAGGACTTCAGTGGGAATTTGAAAAGAAGTGTTAGCAACATATCAATAGTTGGTATAGACGTATTAAAATGATGAGAAAAAATATGAATATGTTAATTTAGTGCATATACTGTATCTCCTGTCATTTCAGTCTTTTTGAATATATATTTTAATGCATTTTAATAGTTTGAAGTATGAAGAATTTTGCATGTTTTGTGAATGTGAAAACATTTCTCGGTAGGATCTAGAATTGCAGTTGAGGAATCCATTTTCTGGGCTATCTTGGTAATCCTCCAGCTTTATTTTCCTTAGCTATAAATGAATATGGTCCATGAAGTAAGTGGGGAGAATTGTATTATATAAATACTTAGAAAAATAGAATATGCATGTAGAGTATTGCATATGGAAGTCATGGATAAATCTATTTGTAAGGCCTCACATCCTTCTCTTTTCTTATCCTTTTTGCTTCTCTCTCTTTATAGCTCTGGGACATTGGAGGTCAACCTCGTTTTCGTAGCATGTGGGAGAGATATTGCCGTGGTGTTAGTGCAATAGTGTAAGTAATTCTTGTCTACATACTAAGGGTATGGTAAGTAAGATATGCTTGATGCTTCCTTATAGAGGGGCAGGAATAATACACAAAGAAGGACAGAAACTTGCAGTTAGTTCTAACTCTTTAACTATAGTATAGCTAAGTGCAAGTTAGGCATCATAGCAAACTTTTGCCTCCTCTCATCACAGCTGTGGATAGGGGGCTTTTCCTTGATTTATCCAATATGCTAGTTATGCCCTTTCCTGGACCATGAATCTCTTCTCATAGTCACTCAGATTCTAGTTATCTCACATGTAAACAATTGCAATGCACTCAATAATGGAAGAGTGGAAGACGGCTTGGAAACTGCAGCTGCCGAATATGGTGGTGCAGGTAGTTATGGAGGCAATTTTGCACATCTGTGTAATACCTTTGCTGCACAGACTGCACTGGTTACCAGGAAGCTTCTGGATACAATTCAAGGTACCTATAAAGGATGAGAGACTACCTTTTCCCCATTGCTTTAGCCTGTCCAGGCAGATCTGACAAAATAGGCATGCTGCAAGTCCTATAGTTAAAGTAATGTCATTAAATGGACTTGTGGCACCTGCCCTGTGGAAAAGTTACTGCCCTTCAGGTTTAAATCACTGCAACCATGCCATTGTTTAAACAGCCCTTGAAGACCTACCTGGCCTTTCTGCCAATCACTAGGTCAGGAAATTTGTCCATTGTGGAAATTTAATATATTGTTAATTTAATTCATAGATTATCATCTTCTGTTTGTATTGTATTAATTGTTTTATTCTGTATGCTGCACAGAATTGCTATGAGTTGAGTGGCCTAGAAATCTGATTAATAAATGAATACATAAATAAATAAGAAACTCTGTTCAGAAGCAAAAGTTGTCAGCTTGTCATTTATCTTCCACTGTGTTTCAGAGTCGTAGCATGAGAGCAATAACTAGGCCTTGTTTCTTGATGCAAAGTGTTTTCTAATGCTACAAGTTCTTGATTGGCCAACAATAACAGTCATCCAAATATGTTAATTTTTGTCTTTAATTACAGGTAGTCCTCGAGTTACGAGTGTAATGGAGCCTGCCCATTCCACTCGTAACTCGAAAACTCATGGGAGTGAATCTCGTATCTCGAACGAGATCACTCCCTTGCTCATTAAGATGATCCAGGCAGCAGCAGCCTGGAAAAGGCCTCCGAAGCCCGGATCGACCTTCCGGAGGTCCGCAGAAGCGTCCCCCAGCCTCAGAACTGGGTGGCAGCGGCCTGGAAAAGGCCTCCGGCAGCTGGATCCAGCCTCTGGAGACACACAGAAGCGGCCCCCGGCTTCAGTTCTGTTCTCTGTTGCAGAGAACAGAGGCCTAAAGTAACATGAGATCACGCAAGATCAGTAGTGTGAAATCTCGCCCCGCTGATTTCACGTGATCTTGCGTTACTTTAGGCCTCCATTTTCTGCGAACGCACCGAAGGCCTGGAGCAGTCAAGAAAGCGAAGGATCTCTCGATCTTCGCAGGGTGAGTATTGAAGTCCTGATGCCTAGAGAGACCTGGGGCGGGGCCAGAAACTAGAGATCCATTCATTCAGAAATTCAGATGATTTTTTCTGAAGAAAACACAAAATTGATTCAGATTTCACACATACAGATAGTTCTCAGGTGCAACCATTCATTCAGCAACCATCTGAATTTACAATGGTGCTTAATAAATGGTAATTTTAAGTGATCCTCAAAAGTTCTGGTCATTGTCGCGCCCCTGCAATCAAAATTTGGGGACATCAAAGTGAGGTGCTCTCTATCAATGGGTGAGGCAGGAGAGGTGGCAGCGGTTCCCCAGGTGAAGGTGGCAGCTGTGCAGGAGTCACTGTTTGGAGTTGAGGCAGCGGAAGGATGACGACTTCCAGGAGTCACAGTGTACACTCTGCAGTTTTTGTGATAAGAGCTTCTAGAGGACCATCTTACAGGTTTCAATGGGGGATAAAGCAAACCCAACACTGACAAAGCCCTTTGCTCACTCTTGCCCCAGCTTTGTCCCTGAAAAGCCTCGGCAGCACTTCTGGAGGACTGTTCTGCGGAGGCATCATGACTCTTTGGGGACACTGCCAGGGCTGGGTGGCTGAGTGCAGGGCAGTCAAAAGGCCAGAGATGGGGGGGGGGGGGGGAAATGCAACAATGGTTGTAAATGTGGATGGCTTGCCAAACGCCTGAAGTTTGATCACGTGACTCTCCCCCCCCCCCCGGTCAAGCTGTACAGGACAAGCTGTAACTACTATTTGTCAAGAACCATCATACCTTCAAATGGTTGCTGAATGAGTTGTCATTAAGTGAGGACTACTTACATTCCTCTTTCCATATCAACTATTTTTAATGTCTTTTCTGCAAGCAAATTCTGTTTGTTAACGTCAAGATATTTTGAGTGAATTAAATGATACTAATGTTGAAAATGTCCCTCAGTCCTTTGCGCTAGTTGTATGCTTAATAATAATAGACCTTGGAATAATATAAGAGTCTGTTCTTAAGTCTTTCAAGTCTCATTCTGATATAACTGCTGGATTTTTCTCATATACATTCATAGTGATATCTATTGACACACCACAGAGGCATCAAGTAGAATTATAATAAAGACATAACATTATAACATTGTGCATGTTATGGTGACATATATCACATATAGTGAATAATGTACATCATTTGCCCAGTAATATTTTTGACATAACTTCTCCTACTCCATGGATACTTTGATACACCAATAAAAAGGGGTGATTTGTGTTCTTTATAGGACATTTTTTTATGAAATCCTAATATTTAACTCTAAGCTCCCATAATTCAGAATATTCTTGTAACCATTGGATGTATTTTCTTATCTTTACTGTTTTCATGTGTCATGCATAAAGAAACCACTTTTGTATTGGAATACTTTGACACAAAGAGTTGCTTATACACTCTATTAAGAGGCGTTAATGCTGCAGGAGAGAAACTTCTTCAGGCTTCCATTTAATTCAAGATCTGATGATAGGTTATAGGGCCAAGTTCTTACAGACCACTGCAGATGTTACCATTTCAGAAAAGTTCTCTTGTTTTGTTCCTTTTAATGCTATTTTTCATAAAATCTCACTGATTCTTATGGTAGGCAGGCAGAACAACTTTATTCTGGTTTTTTTTTTTGGGGGGGGGGGAGAAAGTAGCTAATGAAGTTCTCTTTCCAAGGCTCAGTCTAAAGTTCCATGTAGTTCTCAAATTCTCTACTTCAGACCTCTCAAGCATTTCTAGAAATCTTTCCAAGCTACTTTTTTTTACAGCACTAGAATCTTCATCAATACCAGCACTGTATTATAATAATTAAAAATTGTAGGGCAGAATTAATAGCTCTTTCCTGTGACCTGTTACCCAATGTCTTTAACTAGAAACACTGTGTCATGGAGTGGTGATTCTTCCTCAGGTTATATTTTCAAAAGGTATACTTTGCTCTGGTTTCTACATCATATTTTTAGAACAGGGGAATTGTTTGCACAGATGTATACCCAGTTCAATAGTATAAGTAGCTTTAAAAAGATAGAATATGTGCTTGGGAGGTAGACGCTATCAGAGTTTGCATTTTTCAAAAACCTATTGAGCAACTTCAGCTCCAAAGACATGTAACATGTTTCCTAATTCTTGGGATAACTCCTGGGGTTTTCATTAAAGAGCTAATTAGGAAATTAGGATTGGCAAATGGGGAGCAATTGTTTCATGCCAAGGGTGAATCAGAGGGTTCAAGTATATGCCCTGAAATTATGAGGAATTTTTGAAAACTTAGGTTTATACTTACTCATCTCAATTTAGAAAAAAAAAAGTAACGTTTTCTAATTTTTGACAGAGATTGGAATTAGAGGAAATGCCATTGTGGAATCTCAATCCAGATAAAGTGGAATTGTGTTTTCTTTATGTATGAATGCTTATAGTAGGGCTGTGCCGCCTTCCAAATTCAGAGGCAGTATATCTTTTCTAAGATTGCATTTCATTTGTAGAGGGCAGCCAGGTTCTCTTAGGAAAGATACAGATGTGTTAAAAAGTTCCAGATAGATGACATTTGAGCATTTTCACATGTTCCAAATCACTTTTCCCCTTCAAATTCAAAAAGCTACAAACACACACACACAAGATTAATCTCTTCAGAATAATACTGTAGGAATGGTCAGCTAACTAGCTATTTCTGCCTCTCTTCTATTAGCCTGCTAGATGGGAAGGAAGGAGAGATATGGGAGGAAAATGATGTAGTCCAATAAAGAGTTGGCATTTGTTTCTTCAAAATCAGAAATGAGGAGGTGATAAGCCGCCTGGGAAAGCCAAGGGAAATCATCAAAACAATTAAAAAACGAAAATTAGAATATTTCGGACATGTGATGCGACACCCAGAAAAATACGGCATACTCCATTTAATCCTCCAGGGAAAGATTGAAGGCAAACGAGGTCTAGGCAGAAGAAGAACATCATGGCTTCAAAATCTAAGGGATTGGTTTGGACAAAACTCAGTAGCACTTTTTCGTGCGGCTGCTGATAAAAACAGGATCGCCAACATGATCGCCAACGTCCGATAACAGATATGGCACAAGAAGAAGAAGAAGAAGAAGAAGAAGATTTGTTTCTTCCCTGCATTCCCATGGATTACTTCTAATTATCTCTAAAGGACTTCTTTGTCAGAAACATGTATTGCTATTCATTCATGTGATGTTTTATATCAGTATTCCCGAATCAAGGCATCCTTCATGTATGACAATTTTAATTCGCGCTATTTTCAACTATAGTAATGCTGACAGGAGTTCTATGAATTGAAATTCATATAACTGAACAATATCCAGTTCAAGACTACCCTTTTATGAAGCTGCATCTTTACCCATAGTCCTTCTACTTTACCCCTTATCAGTGAGTGCAACCTCCAGTAGCGGCCAATCCTTCTATTGCTTCTGCAGAGTACATGCTGGATTAGCTCTGTTTCGCCTGTGGCTCTCTTTCCATATAGGCAAGCTAGTAGGTAGCGTTCTGTGCCCTTGTCCACATATATTGGCTAATGTTACAAAATAATCCACTATCCCCTTGCTGTTAAGTAAATGAGCTGAATTCTGGATTCTGGGCCAAACTGAGCTTTGATCCCTGATGCAATAGATATTAGTATACAGTATGTGGCACTGTATAAAATAGCATAATCAAGAAAATACATTCTGCATGCTAAGTATTATACGGGTAAGCGTAAAGATACATTTGGTATCTAGCATATTCTTTGATATTAATACTGATAGTTTATATATCTTTATTTCTGAAAAGGTCTTGGTTTCTGTTTTCTTTAGACCAGATTTTGGGCTGCTTCTCAACTGGGTTGAGTTCACCTTTGTTGAAAATGTTGTACTGTATATTGTACTTCAGGATTCAGTTGTTGAATTCTGCTTGAATACTCTATAACATGTTTTCATGTTTTTCTATAACATAAAAAGTGAATCTAGAAAATCTGCAGACATTGTCTTATATTTGCTTCCTGCTGTTTTTTTTTAAATGGAACTAGCCTAGCACATTTTGTTTAGTGAATAACTGAACATAGATGTAAGTTCGCCTGTGGTGAATGAAATTGCTGTGTGCAATCAACAGTTAGATTAACTGACTCTTGAATTACCCAAGACCTTATCAGTTTTGTTTGGGGTGGTTGGTGGCTGCAATTCTGAAAAGGGTCATGAATCAGAATGATCCAATGAAGGTAGAAAGATGGGCAAATTCAGGAAACTGTTAAGATGTAGTAAGAGTTGAAGCCTAAATAATGGCAACAGTTCTATTTTTTTGGAAGTTTAAGAAACTGATAATAAATGACTCTTAGAATTCAAAATTTCATCTATATTGAATGTATCTATAAACAGAATCAATAGTTTAAAATCTTGCCTTCATTCTCTGCTGTTATTTTTTTCCCTAAACCTTAAGAACTTTAACATCTTTAGTAATTTCTTACTAAGATGTGATTAAGAATCTCTGACAAATATCCTGTCTACACTGTATAGCTCTTTTGTGTCATTTGCACTTTTTAATGAAAGAAATCTTCAAATGTATATGAATATAGATTATACAAATGTGTCCAACAGTAGAGTTGTGCATGCTTTAGAAAAGATTGAGAAGGAAGTGCTTTCTGATCTTGCATGAGTATGACACTTCTCTCTTATTCATTCAACAAGTTCTATTTTTTTTTCTATGCTGCTGCTTTAAGAATGGGCTTCTTAAAGCTGTGATGGAGACTGGCTGCTTTGATAAATAGCAGAGAGGTGTTGTGTGAGATCTGAAGCATGTCTAATACATTCATTTCAAAGTATGTTCAACCCTGCCTAAGCACTTCTACACACAAAATGAAGCCTGCAGTGCATATTTGTAGCACTAGAATCCCAGTATCTCTAAGAGAGTAAGTACTTCCTAAGGTATGGACAGAAAAAGGTGAATAAAGATGTTGCCCAAACCCAAAGTTTTGTAACCAGTCAGTTAATGAGACTAATAAAGTTTCAGAAGTATCCATCTTGTTTGCTGGGGGCTGGTTAGCTAATGTTGTATTAGGCTCCTACATAGTATCTTAGGCTGTTATCTGCAGCTGCTTCTGTCACCTTTCCAGCTCAGTAGTAATGTGTTGTTTCATTCTAGATATATGGTAGATGCTGCAGATCAGGAGAAGATTGAAGCTTCAAAGAATGAACTGCACAACTTGCTTGATAAACCACAACTCCAAGGCATTCCTGTAAGTTGATCCAATTCTGGAAAGGCTAAACATATACAAGTTAATCCATATGACGGATTGAGTAAAAAATTCATCTCAATGTAATTTATTCTCAGAAACTATAGGACTAGATTTTGGAACCAACTATCTCTCATTTTCATGACTATTCCACATGGTGCTGAGATATTTCTTTCTAGGATGTGTAAGTTTTTATGGAAGGACTGTATTGGAAAAGTAAGTAAAGGGCAGAATCTACTTTTATAACATTGCAGGAGATAGGTGTGACCCTCTTGTTTGGAATGCAAAAAAGAAAAAATATTACACAATTAGGTCCTAGAAAGTAAGGCTGAAGTTTTATAATGTAAATAATACTTAGTTTTTAGCGCATCCACAGTTAAATATTTTCTCAAGTGGAGCTTAGCTTCTGATGGCTGTATAAATATAATTGTGTAGTTTTCTTGGCAATAGTAACGAAAGAGCTTGCTATTTTTTTTCTTCCAGAATGTTTTTATTTTTTCCACTTTAGCCTATAGCTCTGGAACTTTCTGATGGTCTCCCATCCAAGTACTAACAGAGCCTGACACAGAGCCAGAGTTTGGTAGGTGCTCCCACTGGCTACTGTTCAGATAGAAGATAGAAATAACACACTGTATTATTGCACACACTGTAAAGATAAAGTGAGCTCTGAGTGTTTCTGCCTTCCATGAATTAAAATCCTTTCCTCAGAGTTTTCATTTTTTTAGACAATGAAATAGCTTATTTGAGGCAAAAATGTAAATATGTAACACATATTTGCAGTTATATTAAATATATGGAGAAGGTCATTTCACTCCTTTCTTTAAACCAGCTTCTACACAGAAACGCACTGTGCTGCTTTTTAAAAAATCTGTAATTCCCATTGCTTGCCAGATCCTTCAACTTTTACACCAGTGGAAGTATGGTCTTTAGCAAAATAAATGGGAGGTAGATGTCATTGTGAGAGAATTTCATGGTCCAAATCTTAATGAGAATAGCTCCTGAAAATTAGGAAGTCAAGAATTGTGTAGGGTCCAGTTAATATTTTAAAAGAAAAAAACAGTTATCAATCAGCATGCTGCCATTTGAACTGGCCCATAGGGAGCATTGCCAAGGGTGAAGTAATTGCAAAGAAAAGCAGATACTCTTTTGGGTAGCTAGGTTTTAATAGCATATCTGGACACTAGACAACTTTCTGTTTGTTGGTTACAAAAGATGTATTGGCTACCCCCAGGGAATACATTTAAAGGTTAATCAAATACCCTTTGTGAGTATTTGATTTTTCCCATGAATGTCTTTCCAAGTGAACCCTTAAATTATTTTACATGACTAATATTGTTATTCATATCTGCATTTAGACTTAAAGCAATGCAGTGTTTTGCTTCTTTTATATATGGCTTTATAAAGTCCATATAGCATTTTAGAAATTGGTATTTTAAATATTTGTAGAGACAGCTTTCCTATTATCTTTTTCCCTTTCAAGCCAAATTGTGTTTTTTCCAACTTCATGCTTGGCAGACTTTCCCTGGATTATAAAGGAAATTCTTGAATTCAGAAAGTGTATTGAAAACACTGGTGCACAAGATATATCTTGTTTGAACAATGGAGTCACTTCAGACTGTTCCATAGCNAGAAGAAGAAGAAGAAGAAGAAGAAGAAGAAGAAGAAGAAGAAGAAGAAGAAGAAGAAGAAGAAGAAGAAGAAGAAGAAGAAGAAGAAGAAGAAGAAGAAGAAGAAGAAGAAGAAGAAGAAGAAGAAGAAGAAGAAGAAGAAGAAGAAGAAGAAGAAGAAGAAGAAGAAGAAGAAGAAGAAGAAGAAGAAGATTTGTTTCTTCCCTGCATTCCCATGGATTACTTCTAATTATCTCTAAAGGACTTCTTTGTCAGAAACATGTATTGCTATTCATTCATGTGATGTTTTATATCAGTATTCCCGAATCAAGGCATCCTTCATGTATGACAATTTTAATTTGCGCTATTTTCAACTATAGTAATGCTGACAGGAGTTCTATGAATTGAAATCCATATAACTGAACAATATCCAGTTCAAGACTACCCTTTTATGAAGCTGCATCTTTACCCATAGTCCTTCTACTTTACCCCTTATCAGTGAGTGCAACCTCCAGTAGCGGCCAATCCTTCTATTGCTTCTGCAGAGTACATGCTGGATTAGCTCTGTTTTGCCTGTGCCTCTCTTTCCATATAGGCAAGCTAGTAGGTAGCGTTCTGTGCCCTTGTCCACATATATTGGCTAATGTTACAAAATAATCCACTATCCCCTTGCTGTCAAGTAAATGATCTGAATCTGGATTCTGGGCCAAACTGAGCTTTGATCCCTGATGCAATAGATATTAGTATACAGTATGAGGCACTGTATAAAATAGCATAATCAAGAAAATACATTCTGCATGCTAAGTATTATACGGGTAAGCCTAAAGATACATTTGGTATCTAGCATATTCTTTGATATTAATACTGATAGTTTATATATCTTTATTTCTGAAAAGGTCTTGGTTTCTGTTTTCTTTAGACCAGATTTTGGGCTGCTTCTCAACTGGGTTGAGTTCACCTTTGTTGAAAATGTTGTACTGTATATTGTACTTCAGGATTCAGTTATTGAATTCTGCTTGAATACTCTATAACATGTTTTCATGTTTTTCTATAACATAAAAAGTGAATCTAGAAAATCTGCAGACATTGTCCTATATTTGCTTCCTGCTGTTTTTTTTTTTAAATGGAACTAGCCTAGCACATTTTGTTTAGTGAATAACTGAACATAGATGTAAGTTCGCCTGTGGTGAATGAAATTGCTGTGTGCAATCAACAGTTAGATTAACTGACTCTTGAATTACCCAAGACCTTATCAGTTTCCTTTGGGGTGGTTGGTGGCTGCAATTCTGAAAAGGGTCATGAATCAGAATGATCCAATGAAGGTAGAAAGATGGGCAAATTCAGGAAACTGTTAAGATGTAGTAAGAGTTGAAGCCTAAATAATGGCAACAGTTCTATTTTTTTGGAAGTTTAAGAAGCTGATAATAAATGACTCTTAGAATTCAAAATTTCATCTTTATTGAATGTATCTATAAACAGAATCAATAGTTTAAAATCTTGCCTTCATTCTCTGCTGTTATTTTTTTCCCTAAATCTTAAGAACTTTAACATCTTTAGTAATTTCTTACTAAGATGTGATTAAGAATCTCTGACAAATATCCTGTCTACACTGTATAGCTCTTTTGTGTCATTTGCACTTTTTAATGAAAGAAATCTTCAAATGTATATGAATATAGATTATACAAACGTGTCCAACAGTAGAGTTGTGCATGCTTTAGAAAAGATTGAGAAGGAAGTGCTTTCTGATCTTGCATGACTATGACACTTCTCTCTTATTCATTCAACAAGTTCTATTTTCTTTTCTATGCTGCTGCTTTAAGAATGGGCTTCTTAAAGCTGTGATGGAGACTGGCTGCTTTGATAAATAGCAGAGAGGTGTTGTGTGAGATCTGAAGCATGTCTAATACATTCATTTCAAAGTATGTTCAACCCTGCCTAAGCACTTCTACACACAAAATGAAGCCTGCAGTGCATATTTGTAGCACTAGAATCCCAGTATCTCTAAGAGAGTAAGTACTTCCTAAGGTATGGACAGAAAAAGGTGAATTAAGATGTTGCCCAAACCCAAAGTTTTGTAACCAGTCAGTTAATGAGACTAATAAAGTTTCAGAAGTATCCATCTTGTTTGCTGGGGGCTGGTTAGCTAATGTTGTATTAGGTTCCTACATAGTATCTTAGGCTGTCATCTGCAGCTGCTTCTGTCACCTTTCCAGCTCAGTAGTAATGTGTTGTTTCATTATAGATATATGGTAGATGCTGCAGATCAGGAGAAGATTGAAGCTTCAAAGAATGAACTGCACAACTTGCTTGATAAACCACAACTCCAAGGCATTCCTGTAAGTTGATCCAATTCTGGAAAGGCTAAACATATACAAGTTAATCCATATGACGGATTGAGTAAAAAATTCAACTCAATGTAATTTATTCTCAGAAACTATAGGACTAGATTTTGGAACCAACTATTTCTCATTTTCATGACTATTCCACATGGTGCTGAGATATTTCTTTCTAGGATGTGTAAGTTTTTATGGAAGGACTGTATTGGAAAAGTAAGTAAAGGGCAGAATCTATTTTTATAACATTGCAGGAGATAGGTGTGACCCTCTTGTTTGGAATGCAAAAAAGAAAAATATTACACAATTAGGTCCTAGAAAAGTAAGGCTGAAGTTTTATAATGTAAATAATACTTAGTTTTTAGCGCATCCACAGTTAAATATTTTCTCAAGTGGAGCTCAGCTTCTGATGGCTGTATAAATATAATTGTGTAGTTTTCTTGGCAATAGTAACGAAAGAGCTTGCTATTTTTTTCTTCCAGAATGTTTTTATTTTTTACTTTTATTTTACTTTAGCATATAGCTCTGGAACTTTCTGATGGTCTCCCATCCAAGTACTAACAGAGCCTGACACAGAGCCAGAGTTCGGTAGGTGCTCCCACTGGCTACTGTTCAGATAGAAGATAGAAATAACACACTGTATTATTGCACACACTGTAAAGATAAAGTGCAGCTCTGAGTGTTTCTACCTTCCATGAATTAAAATCCTTTCCTCAGAGTTTTCATTTTGTAAGACAATGAAATAGCTTATTTGAGGCAAAAATGTAAATATGTAACACATATTTGCAGTTATATTAAATATATGGAGGTCATTTCACTCCTTTCTTTAAACCAGCTTCTACACAGAAATGCACTATGCTGCTTTTTTAAAAATCTGTAATTTCCATTGCTTGCCAGATCCCTCAACTTTTACATCAGTGGAAGTATGGTCTTTAGCAAAATAAATGGGAGGTAGATGTCATTGTGAGAGAATTTCATGGTCCAAATCTTAATGAGAATAGCTCCTGAAAATTAGGAAGTCAAGAATTGTGTAGGGTCCAGTTAATATTTTAAAAGAAAAAAACAGTTATCAATCAGCATGCTGCCATTTGAACTGGCCCATAGGGAGCATTGCCAAGGGTGAAGTAATTGCAAAGAAAAGCAGATACTGTTTTGGGTAGCTAGGTTTTAATAGCATATCTGGACACTAGACAACTTTCTGTTTGTTGGTTACAAAAGATGTATTGGCTACCCCCAGGGAATACATTTAAAGGTTAATCAAATACCCTTTGTGAGTATTTGATTTTTCCCATGAATGTCTTTCCAAGTGAACCCTTAAATTATTTTACATGGCTAATATTGTTATTCATATCTGCATTTAGACTTAAAGCAATGCAGCGTTTTGCTTCTTTTATATATGGCTTTATAAAGTCCATATAGTATTTTAGAAATTGTATAAAATTTATAAACATCTCTGTCGAAAGGATAATAGAAAAAGGGAAAGTTCGGTTTAACACAAAAAAGGTTGAAGTACGAACCGTCTGAAAGGGACCTAATATTTCCTTTAAGAACTTAAGTCTTTCACATAACTTTTGTGACCACGTGTTCTATATAGAACAAACTTGTTACCTCAGTGAAGTCTGACAAGGTATCGTCTTTACAGTTTGCACGTATCAGACTAAGAGCACTGCCCTATTCTCTTTTGCAGGTCTTAGTTCTTGGGAACAAGCGAGATCTGGCTGGTGCCTTGGATGAGAAAGAGCTCATTGAAAAAATGTAAGTGTTTATTGTTGTCTTCAGTTTCTACAGTTTGGCTGGAGTCTCTCCATTGCAGCAATAACTTGATTTTAGCTTCTTGGAAATCACATCTGGATATATTCAGCATGATTATGCAATATAATATTTTTATATAAAAGGCATAATAAAAATGTAATAATAATAATAAATACCAGTTATGGTATTATAAAATTACACTGCTTATAGGCCACCCATTCTCACCAGTCTAAAAGATATAAACAATATGAGCATAAAATGCCTTCTGCATTTTATGTGGTGGTGCCTGTGCTCTGGAATAGTATTTCCCAGAAATCTGTATGGCTCCTATTCTGATGATGTTCCATGACATCATTGAAAACTTGACTAGATATTGGGGCAGGGTAGTGGGTAGGTTCCTGTACGTTTTGTGTGGCGTGTGTTTTATAATCTTTCTGGATGCATATCAGTTATTTCTTTTCATTGTTCTTTTGGACAGACCAGGATCTGGACTTTATATTTTTTTTTATTATGTATCTGGAATAAGGTGTACTTTAAATCAATGTAAGTAAGTAAATAGCATAAAATTAAAAACATCCACAAATACATGCCAGCAGTTCTGGTCAAAGAACACCCTTCTCTTCTGCAAGAATGAACAAGTAGGTCTTTAAAGCTTTCCTGAAGATTTGACCATTGATCATGATAGCCTTCTGAACCATTTCTCTTTTGCAGTGTTTCCTCCTTTCAGAATGATTGGTTCCATTTGGTGGCAGGGGAGAGATCTACCCCCTCCCACTAAGAGGGAGTTCCAAAGAATGGAGGTAACTACTGAGAACATCTGCTTCTGAGGCTCCATTATGGGACAATCCCATATAGATAGGATTTGAAGCAAATGGCCCTATTTGATCTGGTTGTGTAGGCAACTTCCATAGTGTCATCTGCTTGGCCTAGAAACATAATATATAACTAGATAACTTCAGCATAATGGTGATACCAAACCCCATTACAGAAGATGACTTCCTTCAGCAGTTTCATAGAGTTATTAAAAAGGAGTGGATAGAGGAGACATCCCTGAGACACTCCACAAAGAGTTCTGTGGGTAGAACTTCTCCTGCCACCAAATGGAACCTATCCTTCCGGAAGGAGGAACCACTGCAGAACAGAGATGGTTCAGAAGACTATCATGGTCAATGGTATCAAAAGATGCTGAAAATTCAAGAAGGATTATAAAGTCCAGATCCTGGTCTGTCCAAAAGTCATCCACAAGCCCAAAGATTCCATGCTGTATTCTGGCTTGAACTTTGACAAATATGACTTCATGTCTATTGCCTCTAGGATCCTTTGCAGCTGTAGGAAAACCACTTTTTCCACAATATTTCAGGGAGGAAAAGAGAGGAAACAGGTCTATAACGATCCAACATTGGATTGAGCAAAGTCTGCGGTCTGACTGCTGCCTTTTTCAGATATGAGGGAAACATATTCTCAGACAAATATTGATCCAACCCATCACCTCATGTAAGGCCATGACCAACCATAAGGGAAAGAGATACAAGTGAGAGTAGCAAAGCTAACATTGCAATTTCATGAAGACATACAGTCTCAAAATGATTCCATAAAATTTCACAAGATGAGGCCATAATCATCTGCATTGGCATCGTCAATAGTGTGAACATCCTGACTGACAGATGCTGTGAAAATGTCACAGAGTCCTTTCAGATGGACTTTGTGAACGTTCTTCCCTTAAAAAAAGGGAACAGGTCATCTTAAAAAGGATCAAGGAATAGTATTTCGTGGATGCAATAAGAGTTACTTTTTGCACTGCTTGAATTACTACTGTATGAGCATTAACTTGAACTTCTGCTAGTGTTCTGTCAGACTCAAGATGGATCTTCATTTAATAATATTCCAGGCATCTCCTCTGGCACTCATCTTCTTAAACTCTTCAGTAAAGTAAGGGGCTGCAATATGTATATGCAAACAGGAGGAGGCTGCTGTGAATTAACTGAATTCCTACCTTGGATATCCTTTTATATCTTTGGGCAACCAAAGCCTTAGCTGAGTTGTCTGCCAGAATCTTGGGAAACTCCCAAAGAGTCTTTTGAAAACTTGCAGACCAATCTAATACAGTAAGTTCTTTCCCACCACATTGGGTGGATTACATTGTAAAACTCCATGGCAATCTGAGAGTGATCTGTCCATGAAAAAGAGTGAAGTTCAAAGCCCCTCCCCCACTGTTTCAAGGCATGTCACATCTGTCCTGAGGCAAAAAAAAACAAAAAAAACCCCAGATATAATGTGTGCCATGGCCAAGTCCATGGTTGTTCATGGCTATGAACCCCTGGGCCATTTCATATTCCAAGTCTAGGAAAGTTAAGATGATGTTCCCCAACATTATTAATCACGGGAAATCCATTGCTATCTCTGTTGGCATCAATAAAGCCTTATAAATCACAATGTTCACTTCCCTCCCCTGCTCCAGAATTGTGGCTAATGTCAAATCTGAAACCCGAGTAGGTATATATATTTCCTATAGAAAAAAAACCCTACCTAGGGAGATACAAACTAGGTTTGCCCTTTCATTAATAATGAAATCATGGATGAGGAAAATCACTATAGACAGATATCTTTAAATTCCAGCAATTGGAGCCCTGAACTCCTGGTATGAAAACTGAAAGCTGGAAGAGGGAATCACAAAAAAAAATTCCAAATGTCAAAATGTGTTTCCGGAATGTGGTCCATTCTCAGTCTCCTACCATATGTTCATTGCTCATCATTCCATTCCTTCATAATTCCTCCTAACCTTCCTATCCAGCACCTTCCACTGTCCAATAAGAAGCTGAACCTAATGTAAAGACTTTCAACAAAGATCTTTAGGTTTATATGACTTTCAGGCATTTTCCTCAACAAACTACTGCCTATAAAACATTCTATATACTACCCTGATCCTCATTCATAGAATAGCCCGGTTTCCCCAAAGATAAAACAGCTTCTTAGTTCTCTCTGGCAAAAAGGGCTTCTAGGGAATTGATGCTGAGGAAGTTCAGCAACCACACTTCTGAATCCAGGTGATGGTGAAAGGACAAAACTATTGGGGCGGGGGCGCAGATGCTTCCAAACTGTTCTTTGGAACAGCCACATACACAAAACATCTGAGTAGCAAAGTCCAGGCAGAGAGCCCATGAACTGGAAACAGCTTCATGTCCTTAGTTTCAGATCTCCTAGCACATGGCCAACACCTACCTTGAAAGTCCTGTCCGCACCTGCTGCTAGCTTGTTCAGGTTTCCACAAAATAGACACGCTGTCAAAATGGCAATTGCCAACATCAAATACTAGTGTCTGAAATCAACTGGCAATCAAGACAAGATCCACAAGTACCAGCAAGATTCATGCTTTAACTTGCAGCATTGCATTCCTTTCTAATGATCAGCCAGCAGGGCCTGAGCAGACTAGTGCTCCACACTTCCCACTTAGCTGGCACTGTCCCTTCTCAGCTTATCAGAAATAATTAGATAGATGTGCATATTAGGTAGCCAGAAGTAAAAATCAACCAAAGAGGTTACCTTTAAAAAAAACTTACTATAGTGAACAACAAACTAGAAGAAATTAACAAAATTATTTCTACAAAACACAAAGTAATAAAAAAATAGGAAAAAGAAAAGGAACACATAAATTGCATGTGTCCACACATGCACACGTAACAGATTTTAAACAAGAAAATCAAATCTTATCTTTACAGAATCATATTGATTAATCAGTATTTCCATTGTGTTAATAACGAACCAGTTGAAAGACTGAGAGTGAGCCATGTCTTCAGTCCAGATTTTAAGTCTCTAGTAGCAGTTTCTTTCCAAGAAAGCAAAATCATGTTTGTGACTCTACTTTAAGCTTGATAAATCCAAAGTTCTTCATAAACTAATAAATTCCAAGTTTTCAGTATATCACAATTTTTTTAATTTTTTTTATTTTCAATCATTTTAGCAACGATGAGTATCAGCCTTAAATCAGGACAATTAGACTAGGCCACCCAAAGTCACTGTGAGTTGGGTAGACATAAATCTTCTTATTAAAAAAATAAAGCCTCAAATCTCTTTTATTGGTGGGATTTTTGAAGAAACGTGGAGCATACCACAAATTGCTTCACTCCTGTATATTTTATTGCTGCAGTCTTGTGTATTTTATTGCTGAATGTTTCTTCCTTTTCTCACACCAGAGCAGTTTATTAAGCAGCATTTGCTTTGAGTTCCAGGTTAATCAGCGCACATACTTCTTCCCCCCCCCCCCCACTATTGCAGTATCTTCTTTTTTATCCAGTTTGATACTCCCAGTTTTCTCTTTACCATCAATGTTCTCCCACCTGGAAAGGAATTATTTTCATTGCCAGAACGTTCCTGGCAATGAAAGAGGGAAATCTGTTTCTAAGGACATTAAGGCCTAATATCCAATGGGCAGGCAGTATTTTTAAGACTTCTACCTAGTTGAACATCTGAATTTGAGTATATGATACTGAAGCTTGCCAAGGCATTGATTCCTGAACTTGTACAAGTCTAACTAACTTGATTTATGGACGGTGTTTTTTAGGTGTGCATAGGTGCTATGAATTAATGCCCCTCATTGTTGAGAATCTTGGTTATAAAAGAAAACTTAATTCATTACATGGTTACATCTCTAATGGTAATCCAAAGAGGAATCATTTTAGTTTGCTATAGAAAAGGCAGCATAGAATTTAATGGCATTTTAAAGCTTGCCAATTGTATTTGATATAATATTGTCATTTGCATATGGTAGTGGTAAAATTGTGTAATAATTTTGTTTTAGGGACGATATTATATGAGTTTGCAAATCATCTGAGGCCTTGGAGATTGCTATGTTCAAATATAGTGTAGTTTATTGATAGTACATTGGAATTTTTTTAGCCAGGAAAGCAGGTAACAGTAAATAAGATTGAATCAGTTTCACTTCTGGGATACTATCCCATGAATCCATATATGATGATGGTGGTGATGAATCTCGGGAAGAGCAAAAGGCTTTGGGGATTAAGAGCACAGGAAGCATGGCTGAGTATCAGCTATTTGCTTCAGAACCGAAATAACTGGAAAAGAGCATAGTGACAAAACATGTTGTGCACCACATGGTTTCAAGCATTGAGAAAGCAAAGAATCATAGGGCTGGAAGGGATCTTGGAGGTCTTCTAGTCCAGCCCCCTGCCCATTGCAGGAGACCTTATACCATCCCGGACAAATGGATGTCCGGTCTTTTCTTGAAAACCTCCAGCGATTGAGCACTCACAACTCCAGGAGGCAAGCTGTTCCATTGATTAATTGTTCTTACTGTCAGAAAATTTCTCCTTAGTCCTTAGCATATTTCAAGACAAATTACAGAGCTACAGCCATCCACAGATTTTTTTTTTCAACAGATGGTTTTGCAACCCCTATGGGATTAAAAGCCATCTTGGAAATCAAAATGCAACTGGATATCGCATTATTTGAACACTGATAATAGGGTTTCTGACTATGAAGCTCCTTCTTTGGATTCTGTGTTCTATTGTTATAGATAGAACAATATAGAAATACTTATTGAGAAAATTACAATCCACGGATATTCCTGGAAATAAAAGCACTATGAACTTTTGGATCACAGAAATGCAGTTTACTGAAAGAAACCAACATACTCTTGAGTTTTTCACTGCCTTTGCCACATGGTGGCACCATAGGCAGGCAAGTATTTTTCATTTCTCCTTTTTTCCCTGATATGCTGAACAATATTGTCGGCAGAGTTCACGTATTTCAGGAATTGTTTTTATAGTAATATTTTCTGCTAAAATAAGGAGAAGACTCAAGAAAGCAAGGACTCATTCAAAGTAGGCAGCTTAAAAAAAAATAGAAGGGAATTATGAGAGGGGAAGAAATATCCTTGGCCAAGTTCTGTCTGTGAAGGATCCTGTGAGGGCTTCTGCTGTCCTTATCGTGTTCCACTTTCCCTGTAAGATTATGATTTTGAAACCTGTTCCTTTGCACTTTTCAACATCCTGCAATAAGAAACTAATATTTTCTGTAAAGGTGGTGTAAGCTAAGATGATTGTATCTGAAGGAGCCCATAATCTTATGCAGATCTTCTTAGGCAAGTGAGACGCCAAATCTTCCCTACTTTTTTTTACCCCTCTCTTGGCAAGTGAGTTTGGGCAGTGAATGATGAGTACTATTGTGTGCCAGTGCCATTAGTATTTTTGGATAGAAGTAGCAACTATTTTTCTTTGAGCTCTTGAGAAGAGGCTGAGGTGAGAGAGATAACGGGCTAACACGTACTATTTTATTTTGCTATTTCAGGCTATTTGGTGTGCTTTCCGTGAATGATGCCCAAGTCTGCTCTTTCAGCAAAATTACCCATCTGGGCTTGAATGGCCTAGAATTTGGGGGCATTTTGATCTCACAGATTCCAATAGATCCCTGTCTTCCTCAAGCTTTGAATATAGGCTACAAATGTTAACTACCAGCTTTCACCCAACTTTGCACCTTCAGAGTTAAGAAAGGGTTGACCACTCACCAGAAGGCAGTGTCATATTTGCTCTCCTGTTCAAAATCTATGGATGCTTATTTATAAATTAAATTATAAATAAATAAATAAGAAGAAACTGTCATGTTGCTTACACACTCAGGCTCATAGGCTTTTCTGGAATAGCACATAGCAGAGTTCATGTTAGTCCTATCTAATTGTTGGGTGGACCTTTCTACAGCATATTTTAATCAGGTATGGCTGTCAGAGCTAATTTAGGCAGTCTGTTCTATATGCATACAGTAATGAGATCATATTTTTAACCATACCAACAGTGTGCGAATATGAAAACCTTCTCACTTGTCTGCTTCTGGAACACATTGCCAGTTGAAATTTGTCAATCTTCAACATTTAAGAGCTTTCCTATACTATTGTTATCCATTTGTTGCACTTTAGTAATGGAAACTATTATATTTATTTTTATTATTTATTTTTCCTCATACTTTATCCTGGAAATCAAGTTAAAATGGCTTTTATTTTTAAAGGTGCCAGGATCTTGTAAAAGCTTGCACGAAGCCTATGTGAATAATACCTGACTCTTATATGCCTAAATCAGATTGGCTGTGGGATAACATTCCTGAAATTTTAGGAGACCCAGAGTGGATAGAGATGATAAATGAGGATGGCAGAATCTCATGAGCAGTGAGGTCATCATTCAAAAGGAAAAGTTCTGAACTCATCCTCTTTTCATTATTTTTGAAGCTGCAGGTTGCTGGGACACATTTTATCACTCTTTTTGGCTGGCAATGGTCCTTTTGTGTGAGTTGTCTCTTTCTTTTTTAAGACTTCTGATCTTTTGTGCTGTTACTTCTCTTTCAGGAACTTGTCCGCCATCCAGGACCGCGAGATCTGTTGCTATTCAATCTCTTGCAAAGAAAAAGACAACATTGGTAAGTTGGAAAAGAAAAGGCTGGGAAAGATTAAAAGGTTAGGGTATGTAACAACTCAAAAGATTCTGATGAGGGTTGAATCTGCAGCAAAATCTTAGAGTTCTTTTGAGGAGGCACCCAGTTGCTGGTTTTGTCCATAATGTGGACAGGTTCAGCTAAGTCAGCTGAGACCACAGTCAGTTTTATTATGAGGGTTCTGTATGCCTTTGGGGTTTCCATTCATTTCATAGTTGGAAGTGGGAAGAGTTTGGACACATCACTCTTTGTCCTCTGTCAATTCTGTTGGGTTGCAAGATTGAATCAGCCAACATTTGAGAAAAAATCTGACTTTTAGCTGGGCAGACATCTGCACATTTTATTTTACCTCCAGGTAAGCAGAAGAAAGCTTGGCATATCTTCCTTTTCTTCTCGATGGTCATAAATTGTCACCTTCTCTTTCACAGATATCACCCTACAGTGGCTTATTCAGCATTCAAAGTCCCGGCGAAGCTGAGAGCTCTTTGTCCAAGTTTTGGATCGGGAAGATGCGATTGTAAAAGCCAGGCGCACCTCCTCTTTTCTCTTTTCCCATCTCCTGCTCTTTCCATCCCTCTTGCCCACTTCTTTTTCCCTAGATGGGTATTTTTAGGGGACACCAGAACCCTCTTCTGCTGAGATTGAACTCCTGTTTTTATTATAAAGAAACTGTCTGCCTCCTCCTCTCTTTTGCTCCTTACTCTGATTTTGGCACTGTTCTGTTGTTGTCAGTGTGTGTACAGTATATATATATATATAAATATATGTATATATATTTTAATTTTTTAATTTAAGCAATTATACTGTTACTAAATGGGGCCTGTCAGCTGTCAAGGGGGCAGCAGCTAATGGATGGGGTGGGAAAGTAACAAATGCAGTATTGGGGATGTCACAAGCAGCCACAGAACAAGTGGGATCTGGCTGGGTACAGAGCATAACTTTGGGTGATACTTTCCCTGCAAGATAACTCTCTCCTTCCATCTTTCACACTTCTTTTGTCCTTCTGTATATGGCATGATTAATGGGGGGGGGGCATCCCCAGGAGAGCCTCCTAGAGCAGTATTCACATTTAATCGGCTGTGCAAGACTTTAGGGAAGAGCCAATGCAAGTTTTTTTTCCCTTTGCCACTAAATCCTTGGAAACAGTGGCCAGTTTCATTGTTTTCCAGCAGGCAGGAGGCACAGCTCATCCATCTGAGCTTTAAATCTCATTCACTTTGCACTTGAAGATACAGAGCACCATCTCTTGCTGCTGCTGTGTACCTGATATATGCTGGATGCACTCCCTCTCTTTGAAAACCTGTAAGGCAGCTTTCTTTGCAAGGATCAGGATATTTCCCTGAATGGAAGTAAGCAGTGCACGGTATGCATCCTGTAACTATGCAGAGGACCTAGAATTCTGGTGCACTGCCAAAATGACTTAAGTTTGGATCGCCAGCATTCACTGAGTCCATGTTTTAGAGTAGACTGTCTCCTCCCTCAGACCTTTGTGGATTCTTGAGGAACAGAATGACTTATGCAAAGGTTCCATTCAAAAGCCTTTTGAGCAAGACAGAGTTCATAGGATGGTTCACTCAAAGCACAGACCTTAATTGAATTCTAGAGCAGAAAAGGTATGTAGAAAAGGCTATCTTTGCTCAGAGCTCAAGATGAAGCTTTAAGAGCCAGGACTCTTTCTCGGTGTCCTTTAAGCTTACATCCCTCGTCCTCCTTCCACCAATGCACGCAGAGGTATGGAAACTTTGCTTCTCAAGCTTAGGGGTGAAGGTTTAGGATAATCGAGTAGAAGAGGGAATTTCATTCTGTGGGTTTTGTGTAAGAAACCCCTTGGATTATAGCGTGCTTGGGTTTCTGGCAAAGGCCATGATATTCCTGGCTAAGGGAGGTCAGACTACGCTACTGCTCCTATATCTCCTCTCGACTCACTCTAGGACAGGGGTTCTCAACCTTGGCAACTTTAAGACTTGTGGACTTCAACTCCCAGAATTCCTCAGCCAGCNTTCTGTGGGTTTTGTGTAAGAAACCCCTTGGATTATAGCGTGCTTGGGTTTCTGGCAAAGGCCATGATATTCCTGGCTAAGGGAGGTCAGACTACGCTACTGCTCCTATATCTCCTCTCGACTCACTCTAGGACAGGGGTTCTCAACCTTGGCAACTTTAAGACTTGTGGACTTCAACTCCCAGAATTCCTCAGCCAGCAAAGCTGGCTGAGGAATTCTGGGAGTTGAAGTCCACAAGTCTTAAAGTTGCCAAGGTTGAGAACCCCTGCTCTAGGACTTAAAAGCAGCTGCAGAGAAGTTCAGGAAGTAAAGCTATGAAAAATATTTCAAGATGCGATAAGCTAATACTGTTTCTTGTAAAGATAGTTGATGCTGGTGGGTGGCTATATCTCTGTCTGTCCCATGTAAGCTCCATGGACAGGTGTACAGTCGCAGGGCCCATCCTGCCACGAGCTGCTTCCCTCAAGAGGGGAGGGTGCTTTCTAATTTCATTTTTTTCTTTTCTCCTCATTTTCACGGAACTGCACATGGAAGCATTTTACTTTTTTTTAATTTAATCAATTGTATAGTGTCATTTATTCCTTTTTTTAAAAATACATTTTTGGCTCACACTTCGACCTTCTCTGGAAAACAAATCTTGTAACAGTACCTTTTTTTTTGGCTCAAAATAACAATAAATTAACAATTTTATGTTGGTGGTGGTTGCACTGTTACCTTTTTTCTTCAGGTGGTTTTTCCAAACTTCCTTTTCCATGCTGTATCCGAAGACTTTATTCTTCTGAGGGTTTTTTCCTATTGTGGAAGAGCAAAAAACCCTCCATTGTCTTGAAAACAGAGAGCATGATGATAAATAAAGGAGTGTGTTACAAGTGTCATTCTAGAAAGGTTAGGAAGGAACCAAGCTAAGCCTCTCCAGGTATCGTACTTCTGATAAAGATGTGAGGCTCTTCTTTTTGGGATAGCTTCAGTGAGACTTCTGCAACAGAATATTCTTCAGGTCGATCAGACTATGATTCCCATTATTCTCAGCTAACTTTCTCAATGACCATGGAAATAGTAGGCCAATAAGGGGAATAAATCTGATGTTAAGAAACAGATGTTCAGCAGAGACAGCAAGAGAATATTTGAGCCAATTAATTTAATTTAATTTAATTTAATACATTGACTTATATGCCGCCCTTCTCCCCACGGGACTCAGGGCGGCTCACAGCATATTAAAACAACATAGCACATTTCCCCAATAAAAGCCAATTAAAACCAAATATTTGTAGCTGTGTCTCTTATTAAAAATCATTAAAAATTATCCCTATTTAAAATTCACCCTAGGTC